CCAGGATGAGCAGTTGTTTCAGTATCGTAATAAGGCCAAATTGAACTTTTTTTTTTAATCCTTTTTTTTTGTTTATGGTTACTTTGGGATGGTGAGCTAATTGAACTAATATTAGTTTCTTGAGTATTATAATCCAAGACATTATCTTCAAGCATTTCACAGTAATCATCTTCGAGATCATATAAGTCATTGTAGGTTTCGAAAAAACTGTTATCTTCCATTTTTATTTGATTATTTTTTTTTTTTACTTATTTATTTTTTTTTTTTACAATTATAAAACAAAGCTTTATATATTAAGAGATTTACTGTTGTATGTGATTCAAACTTATTGCGATAAGTATTTTTTATTTTATGTTTTTATGTTATTTTAAATACAAACTATAGAATACTCTTGCTTTTTTTTTTTTGATTTTAGAATTTTTGTTTACGGGATAATGCCTATCTGTATACAGTTCAAGAATGATGTGCTTTTCACAAATTTATTGCTAAGGAACAGAAAAGAAATTTATTTGATATAATCACTCTCATTTGTTCTAAATTTCTTTGATATTTCTTCGCATATGATATTTTTACTCACGCTATCCTATTTTCATACTCATTCTTGATTATTTTCTTTTTTTCATGTGGTATATAACAACAAACATTCTTAATAGGCGAATAATATATATGCTGCTCTCAAGATAAGCTAAAAACGTATTTTTTTGAATGTATGTAAATTTGTGAGGGTGCATTCATGTGCATGAATTATCGAGCCAAATTCATAATAATATTGTTCTACTAGCTGACACATAAGTGGAACTATAACTAGGCTTTTGGGTTTGGTATTTTGATGTGTTTTTTAAAATCATGTGTGTGAATGCATGCGCGTCGGCTACTATCTCTAAGTAATTGACCATTTCATGTGTTGTGCTCCCGTGCAATAAACCTGGGCATATATACCTAATAATAATGTAAAACTTATAGTATATCTAATTTAATAAAATATGAAGGCAGTAGGCACAATTAGATCGCTATTAGATTCTTACTAAGTAGATTTTTTTAATATTATTTATACACCAATTTATTAACTTTGCACTTGAAGTTTCAAAGTTCCAAACAGAAATTTAGGTGCATTTTTAGTACAGTATATAATTGTATATAGTATATACTGTATATCCTGATTATATCGATATGCTTTACGACGTACATACGTATGTACGTTCAATAAGCATAAATACATATATTATATAATAAATTAAAACGATGTACAACATAAAGAACCGGTCCAGACCCGGTTTGAAATTTGGGATCAAAGATCATTTAAACTGATCCGATAGACCGGTCTGGACCACGGTCTTTGTAGGACTGTAACATCCTTAAGTTCAGTAGCACCATAGTTTATTTCTTCTTTCTTTAGACTCTTACTAGCATAAGCTATAGGATGTTCCTTGTTATAGCTGTCGAATTGGCTAAGAGTAGCACCAAATCTATAATAAGAAACATCAGTTGCTAGTATGAATATTTTTTAGAAATCTGGATATCAAAGTATAGGAGCACTAATGAGTCTTTGCTTAAGCTCATTAAAAGCTTCGTGTTGTGCTTCAGTTTACTTATAGAGTTTATCCTTTTGTAGCAGCTGATTCAAAGATTTTGCGATTGCAGAGAAATTGCAAATAAATTGTCTATAGTATCCTACTAATTCTAGAAAAGATTATAACTGAGTTATATTCTTAGGAGGTAGAATCTGTTGAACAGCTTCAATTTTCTCTGGATCTGGGACAATTCCTTTAGGTAATATGATGTGTCCTAGAAATAGTAATCTTTGCATCTAAAAATTATATTTCTCTATATTTAATCATAATCCAGCATGTCTAATTCTAGTAAAAACTTCACAGAGGTGTTAAAAATATTCATCAAAGGTCTTGGAGAATACAATAGTATCATTTGGGTATACTACTATGAATCTTCATGCAATCTTGTTATAAACTTGGTCCATTAATCGTTAGAAAGTT